ACGATACTATGCACATCTGGGTCACCGTTCCCCTCACCACCCCTCACTGTCGGGTCTGTGTAGAACGCATCGTGCACGAACTGTTGAGGTGTGTGCCACTTCCCTGCAATCAGGCTCGGGTGGATGGCCGGCAACACATCTGCGGCAATAAGCACATGCTCATCATATTCTTGAATTTGATCCCGCCGCCTCTGCTTCACTAGAGCCCCTCTGGATCCAGACTCCTGCTTCGAAAGTGCGAAGCCTCTGCGACGCTGGGCCATGCGACGCTGGGTGCGAACAGACGGCGCTGACGGCGCTGGCGCATTGACAACTGGACCACAAACAATCTCTGCAAGAAATACTAGCGACGATTGCGACTCATGCTGGATATTCTGAACATTGTCAGTGTCAACATTGTCTGTGTCTGGTTGATCGCCGCCGATCGGTGCAGCTAGAAGCGCTAACTCGACTAAACTCATGCCTCATGCGGGCATGCTTGAGGCAAAATGCCCTTCATCGGCTCACAGGACAGGCTACGGAGTAGGCGGACGTGGTCACTGGGGCATTCGGACCCACAATTTGCGGACAAACAACATACGGCATACCTAAGACCTAAGACCTAAGATCTAAGACCTAAAACCTAAAACCTAAAACTTCTAAATCCAAAAATGATGATGACTAGGAGGAGGGGGAGTGCGAGGACAAGGAGAGAGGGTGGGAAGGGAGGAAGGCGAGGGCATTATGAGGCGGGGAGGAGGGAGGGAAAACGGAGGGAAGAGGGAGGAAGAAGGAGGGAGGATAGGGATGCGGATGCGGATTAGGAGGAGAAGGCCGGGAGGGTGAGGGAGAATATACTTAACAAAACGAGAGGGAGGGGGAGGGTAGGAGGAGGAGGGATAAGGAAAGACCGAGGACGGAGGAGGGGGCATCGCCCGGAGAGGTCCTATCGAAAGAAACGATGCGCAAGAGGAGCCGATTTCGATACAGGAAACGCCTCGGGCGGTCGGACTCGTGATCAGTATGGAGGCCCCCGCCCATGTCGGCGCACCCGTCACACACATGTCGTGTCCCCGTAGGAGACTCCACCGAAAGCCCCAGTGGCCGCGTCCGCATGAGGAGCCGATTCCCCCTCTCCATTTCAAATGCATTACGGTGCTGCAGTTGCATTTTTGGGGCTCGTTGCAAAGATATATTTCAAGCGCTCCTCCCCAAAGGGCCCTTCAACGGTGGCAACGTAACATGATAGTGAAAAAGTCAACCTTACAAAACCATGACATCTTGACCATGGACCTTACCCTGAAACCATGGACCTTACCCTGAAACCATGGACCTTACCCATGAACCTTACCCTGAAACCATGAACCTTGACCATGAAATGGGTGTCCTCCTAGATCGCTCTGTTGCGCCACCGTGCGCCGCCTCAATATATGGATACAAGCATGCATGCGTGCATGTATCAAACGCACCGATCGGTCCCAGCGGACTGCGTTCCAGGGGGACAGCAAACCAAACCATTATTCGACGGCGAGTTAGCAGTCGGGACCCCGGGGGGGGGCAGGGGGGACGGGGGAGAGCCATTCTATTTTCAACAAGCTGGACATTACATGAGGTCCTACCAAATAGATGAGGCCGGAGAATCGTGACGCATCGCCGATGCATCGTCGATGCACCGTCGATTCCGCGACGAAGCACCGAAGACGTCGGCGACGCAGCGGTTATACCGGCGCGGATGAAACCAGGCTCCACATCGAGCCGCGCCGTCGATGCATCGGCGATGCGGCGCGATCCTCCAATCCCATTCATCTGGACCCCATCTAGAAGGCCTAGAGTTCGGCTTCGCCAGGGCCTGAAGCCCTCTCAAGGGTGCGGCTGTCTTGGGGCGCTCGACGAACGCGCTCCCTTACTCGCAAAACACCTGCTCGCAAATGGCCTGGATCTGCCCTGGGGGATTTACGATCCATGGTATCGAAGCAACCGTGTGTGTGTGTGTGTGTGTGCGTGTGAGTGTGCGTGTGCGTGTGCGTGTGCGTGTGCGTGTGCGTGTGCGTGTGCGTGCGCGTGCGCGTGCGCGTGCGCGTGCGCGTGCGCGTGCGCGTGCGCGTGCGTGCGTGTGCGTGTGCGCGTGTGCGCGTGTGCGCGTGCGCGTGCGCGTGCGCGTGCGCGTGCGCGTGCGCGTGCGCGTGCGCGTGCGCGTGCGCGTGCGCGTGCGCGTGTGCGTGTGCGTGTGCGTGTGCGTGTGCGTGTGCGTGTGCGTGCGTGTGCGTGTGCGTGTGCGTGTGCGTGTGCGTGTGCGTGTGCGTGTGCGTGTGCGTGTGCGTGTGCGTGTGCGTGGTGCGTGCGCGTGCGCGCGTGCGTGCGTGCGTGCGCGGGTGCGTGCGCGTGTGGGTGGGGGGGGGTCGGGTGCGGGTGCGGGTGCGGGTGCGGGTGCGGGTGCGGGTGCGTGCGTGTGTGTGTGTGTGTGTGTGTGTGTGTGTGTGTGTGTGGATGTCTGTGTGTGTGTGCGTGCGTGCGTGCGTGCGTGCGTGCGTGCGTGCGTGTGCGTGCGTGCGTGCGTGCGTGCGTGCGTGCGTGCGTGCGTCTGCCGGGCCATCGGGGGCGCACGTCCAGCGACACGGGGGCAACTGACCGCGGCCTGAACCAGCGGGGCCCACTGGGGCAGCTTCAGGACCTCTGGGCAGAACCAGGAAGAACCAGAGCAGGCAATCCCAACAAAGATCACCGACACATAATCGACCCAAAGCTGGCCCTGCCTTCGCAGACGCGCCCAGGGGCCACCCCAGGGGGCCTCCCCAGGGGGTCCATGGGGAATGGCATTCGCCCCATAAACCCACGCTGGCATCGCACGGATAACCAGCACGCGGGCCCCAAGGGCCCCCAGAGGGGGTCCCTCAGGAGCCATCCGCACCATAACCTGGCCCAGGGGCGATCCGACCAGGGAAACGTTCCCAAGCCTTCCTGTCGTCTACCAGGGACGGCGTCCTGGCACTACAAAGCAAACCCATCCCATCGTCTACCGGAGACTGCGTCTCGGCACGATGGGGCGCCCAGCCGTCTCCCGAGGAGTGCTTCTCGGCACCGCCAGGCATCTGCCCAGCATCGCACGGATAACTGGCGGGAGCTCGGGCAATCGAGGCAAGATCCAGCAACGGCCCCGCGGCCGTCGGGAGGCAGCACGCCGCGCGTCTGGCTTCCAATGGCCAGGCTCAGCCGTCCCGCAACGTCTGCCTTCCATTGGCCAGGTTCAGCCATCGCAGCCACTATGGCCGCTTGTACGCTTGCCGCCTCATCGCCGCCGATGGCGCTCCTTGAGGCGCTCCGCGCGCTGGCGCCTGACGGCGGCGTTCAGCTCCACGAGCTGCGTCTCGAGGTCGACGAACGCACCCGCGACCACGTGCTCTCTGAGCACCGCTAGCCTGCGGGTGCCGCGCGGCTGTCACTGCGCAATCATGGCTGCGTCGCCGTGGTCGTCCACCGTGTCTTCGTCCGCTCCGTCCTCTTCCTCCTCCACGTTCTCCCCGACGCCACCGAGGAGGGAGGTCGGATGGGGCTCGGATTCCTCGCCCTCCAGCTCGCCGTGCTGGTCGTCTGGGTCTGGCGGTGCGGGCTGACTAGCGGGCTCTGCGTCGTGCTGGGCATCTGCTCGGGCGTCGGCGGCGGCGGCGCCGACCTCCGCGTATCCGCCGTCGCCGCCGCCTCTGCCGATCACCTCCGCCTCGGGCACCCACCAACGCGCACCTGACTCGAAGGGCCGAGGTGCGCCTGCCGGGGGAGGCAGTTCGCTGCGCGCAGGGCGGCTCCGTGCCATCGCCACCTCCTGTCACGCTACGGGCGCCGCCTCGATCGCCGTCCGAACCGCGGGCACCTGCCGATGCCTCGAAGGCCACCGCCACGGCTGTCTGAGCCTCCGCGGAAGCCTGGGCCGTCTCGGCACCTCGGCTGCACGCCCGCTGGGGCGCCATTCCCGCTGGCCTGCGCGCCGCGCCTCCCGCGGAGCTCGCGTTGCGGCATCGCGCGCACCGCCGCCGCAGGCAGCGCAGGGTGGTGGCACACCACGTTGCGCCTCCCCACCCCCCATGGCACTCACGCCCGTCTCGCGGATGTCCGCGTCGAGCACGGGCGCGACGAGCGCCAGGCGCTCCACCGCCGCGACCTTCGGCTCGGGAGTGCCGCTCGCGGCCGCCGCCCCTGCGGCCTCCGTCACGCCGCATTCGGGCACCGAGGCTGCGCGGGCGGCCGCCAGGGCCGTAGCCTCGCCCGCAGCCGCCGCGTGGCGCAGGTCGGCCTGCAGGCACTCCACGCGCATCTCGAGCTCGAGGACGCGTTGCAACGCCGCCGCCAGGCGCCCTTCCACGGCCCCACGGGCGGCGGCTTGCCTGGCACGGCGCACCAGCCACGGCGACGGCGCGGCCGCTGCGGCCCCAGGGAGCTCCGCCGCCGCTGGGGCAGCCCTGCACCCGGCCATAGCCACTGCCCGGCAGAGCCAAGCAGACGCCCCCCGAGCGAGAGGGGACAAAGCGAGGACACCTGCCACGGCCGCGCGGTCGAGGTCTTGAGCCAAAATGGCTACGTGTGTGTGTGTGTGTGTGTATTGTTTGTGTGTTGTGTGTGTTGTGTGTGGTTGTGTGTGTGTTGTGTGGTGTGTTGTGTGGTGTGTTGTGTCTGTGTCTGTGTCTGTGCCTGTGCCTGTGCCTGTGCCTGTCTCTGTGTGTGTCTGTGTCTGTGTCTGTGTCTGTGTCTCTGTGTCTCTGTGTCTCTGTGTTTGTGTGTTTCGGACGTCTGCGATCATTGTCAACCCGTATCATAAGAATGCACGAGAAGATTGCAAGGGCCTCGGAGGGTCATGTTAACGCTTTTCGAGCGAGGTTGGCCAGCGAAAGTGGGTGAGGTTTGGCCGAAGGGGCAAGGGTACAAGGGTAGCCTCGGAAAGCCGCTCATCCCTACTATGCGGGCTGACTGCAGGCACTCTGCGAGCAGTGGGACGCGCTCGGTGAGGAGCGTCGTTTGGCTTCCCAGGGGGCCGGAAGCCCTCCTGCTTGGGCATGACCCGCGGCATGCCGGGCGTCTTCTCACGGATGTCGTTCTTGCGCACCCTGCCCTCCTGCCACTCGCCGTCGTCGGGCGGGGGGATCAGGACGTCGATCCCCTCGCTGTCTATGCCTGCGGGGGTGTCCCATGAGGCGAGGCCCAACCCATGAGCTGCCGATGGCCTGCAGACTGCGGGCGTGCTGCGCATCATGCTCCTGCTGCTCCTCCGCCTCCCCGCCCCTCCTCGGCTGCCTCAGTCACCCGCCTCCTCTGCCGTCAGCTCTACCCGGCCATCTCCCCCACCCTCCGTGCTCTCGTCGTTCCCCTCCAAGTCCTCGCCGCCCCCCCCCCCGAAACGTCCCGCCCATCCTCCTCTTCGTCCTTCTCGAGCGGCAAACGAATGAGTATGTGGCCTCTGGCCAAGACACCTGGCGTCTCAACGGCCGCGGCGACACCGACAGCGAGTTCTGTCCAACATGTGGAAGAACTGATGTCGGTCTCTGTCTCCTCTCCTCCTCCTCTTACTCCTCCTGCCCCCCCTTCTCATCCTCCATTTTCGAACCCATTTCGATCGATGAACCAGGACGCTGGCACGCCCAAGAGAACTGCAGCCTTGGGTCACACTATTATCCATCGATCGGCTTCTCCCGCTGGACCGCTGGGAAGGTCCTACCAGTTTACCACGCCAGGAAGCCCCCAGGAGGTCCCACGAGGACCCCAAGGGGCCCTCGTGGGACCTCCTGGGGGCTTCCTTCGAAGGAGGCACAACGCCATTCCCTGGCGCGCGGAGCGCGCCTGGGGCGGTGCCGCCAGGGGGGTCGCCAGCGCGGATCCAAGAAATCCGCGCGGAGCGCCGAAACTTTCCGTCTACGGCGTTTTTCTTCGCCGACTCCTGAGATCTTCTGGGGGCCCCTCGGGGTCCCCGTGAGACCTCCTGGGGGGCTTCCTGGGGCCTTCGGGAGACCTTCGGGAAGCCTGCCTCTGAAGGGGGGGGGGGGGGCTGGGGGGCCTCTTCGGGGCCTCCCAGAATCTTCGTGAGACCTCCTGGGGGGGCTCCCTGGGGGGACTCCGGGTTGGCCCCCCTTTGGGGCCTCCCTCGTGGGGGGGGGCATCTTCGGGGCCTCCCGGGCGGGAGGCGCAGCTCCTGGGCGCCGGACTCCCGTGCTGTGCCGCCGGGCGCCTCCTTCCACGGCCCTCGCCAGGGAGGGCGCGGACGGGAAGTCCTCCTCCTCCTCCTCCTCCTCCTCCTCCTCCTCCTCCTCCTCATCATCATCATCCTCCATTCCTTTTTCATATAAAGATGTTCTCCCTGTCGCATCCCGAAACCAGCTGTTAGTGTGCGCCGGGCGTTTCACCTGACACTTCCTCACCACCTATGACCCTGAACCTTAAACATGCGGGTCCTTCTCAAAGTGTGGCTCTCGTCTCAGCACCGCGCACATTCTTCTTAACCAACCAACAACTTAGCGCCGCGCATCGCTGTTTCTTCTTATCAGAAGACTATCATGGATTGAGGGCCAGTCGTTTTCAAAATGTGGTTTTCGCCTTCGCGCCGCGCACATTCGTTTTTCAAAAAAGCAAGAGTCTCAAAGCAAGAGTCTCACGGATGAAGGGCGGGTGGATTTCAAAGTGAGGTGCTCGCCTCAGCGCCGCGCACACTCGTTTTTAAAAATGTGCAAGAATTTCACGGACTACGACCGGTTCCTGTTCAACATGTGGCTCTCGCCTCAGCGCCGCGCACATTCGCTTCAAGTTGCAAGAGTTTCACGGATTCCCATGATCAACAAACCAGAGATGGTGTTTGGGAAGGATTCAGGATTACTGGGGGTGCAACAGTTCCGCTGTTTCGCGGTGTTGAAGTCCCAGGAATAATGTTCTGGCAAGATTCAAGATCGTCAAGACGCAACAGTCAGGTTGATCCGCGGCGTTGGAATCCCGAAACCAATGCGTTGGCATGCTTCAGGGTCTTCAAACGGTCGTCTTCCAACGAGGCAATTCCCCCAGTGGAAATGAGCCGTTGTAGGGGCCTATGAAGGAGGGAGCTTGGAGGGAGGGTTTATTCCAGCATCGTTGATGACTCTTGGGTTTCCACTGGTCCTCCTCCTCCCTCCTCCTCCTCCTCCTCCTCCTCCTCCTCCTCCTCCTCCTCCTCCTCCTCCTCCCCCTCCTCCACAATTACTCAATATGAATATGATTCTCCCTCTTCCCCTGATGACGGCCTGGGAGTGTCCGACCCCCCCCCCGCGTACTGTTTTTTACACACAGGTTTCCCTGGAGTTGGGTTTTCGCTTGCATTTTTTTCGAAATGCTGCTCTCGCTGAGGCGCAGGCCTCATTTTCGGGCCCCGCTCGTTCCGAATCGTGCTCCCGCTGCAGCGCTGGCCTTATTTCCGCGCTTCCGCTCGTTTCGACTCGTGCTCCCGCTGCAGCGCTGGCGTCATTTCCCGTGCCATGCCACGGCATGCAATGCAATGCTAGGTTGATACTACGCTTTGCGGTGCTCTTCTACGCCATGCCATGCCGTGCTCTACAATGCATCGCGTACCCTTTCGGGATCATTGCCCTGCTCGACATCCGACTGTGCGAGTAGAGAGGGGATCTGCGCAATGGTAAGGGGTGGGAGGGGTAGGATGTCAGATCTGACGCGAGCGCACCCAGCTTGACCTCCCCCCTCTCCTCCTTCCCCTCGTCCTCCCTGCTCCCCCTTTGCCTCCCTCCTCCCGCCCCCTCCTCGACCGGAGAGCGGCGGGGCGTATCGTGAGGATGCGCGATGAGGATGCCAGTGCCTTGGGCGCCCACTTCGAAGCTTTCCGAGCGCGGCGCGGCCAACAAAAGTGGCCAAGGATGGACCGAGGAGGAGGAGGAGGAGGAGGAGGAGGAGGAGGAGGAGGAGGAGGAGGAGGAGGAGGAGGAGGAGGAGGAGGAGGAGGGGTACCCCCGGGAAGGCTGCGCGTCCTCACCATGCGGCTGGACTGCACCTGGGCCCCGGGCGGCGAGCCAGGGGCGGAAGTGAGAAGGAAAAAATGCCTTGTCACAAGGCGGCGGGGCTTCTCGGCGGCCCTCGCACCTTCCGAGACGTGTGTTCTCTGTCGTCTGGGGATGCATCAAAATCTTCTCGGCAAGCTGTGGAACTTCCGAGCCTGCTGAGAAGGCCCGCCCCTTCTCACTTCCCCCCGGGCTCGCCGCCGAGGGAGAGCGGTGGGGCGGGGAGGCATACCGCACTGCCCCCGCCCGCCACCGCGACAGACTGTGGTGCCAGACTCACTGCCGCGGGGACGCAGTGGGGGCGGGGGGAGCAGGACAGCCCAGAATCGAATCGATAAGTCGGATCGGCGATCGAAATTCATCGGATCGGCCGAAATCGGCAGCCAAGTCGGGAAACGTCGCATCGGAGGAAATCGGCGGGCCAATAAGCCTCCATTGAAAATTTAGACCCCAAACCGGAATCCGAAGCGATTTGAATCGGAATCAGAAGCCGTCGAAATCGAAACGAATCGGAGGAATCGAAATGAGCCCTGGGAAAGGGGAAGAAAACGGGGACCATGACCAAGACTGAGCGCGGAAACATCTTGCCGATCTTGGTCAACGTAGACTTTGGTCAGCGCCACCTCGTGGGTCGCCCTCGCGAATCGGCAACGGCAGCCGTGGACCATGACCAAGATCCGCATCGTCAATGATGGGCCGATATTCCACCACCACTGCCAGAGGTGCGGACAGGGGAGAAGGATGGGGAGGTCCTCCTCCTCCTCCTCCTCCCCATCTTTCTCCCCACCTCCTTCTCCTCCCTCTCCTACCTATGGTAGTGGTGGTCGAGAAACGGCCCACAAGACAAGATCCCGCGACATCTTGGTCCTGGTCCCAATGCTTCTTACCTCCGTGGCCACATGTGAACCCCAACCCCCACGATTTCTGAGGGGGAGTGGGGGTTCACTCCGCTCGGGAGCTCGTGACCAGAATGTTTGATTCGAAACCAAGACGATTTGCAATTTCGGTATCCATTTCGCTCACACTATGGTTCGGTCACAACTACGGGCACGTTTTCGGTCACCGATTTGTTTCGGTCACCTGCCTCTTCGGCTGATCGCGGCCGGGTGCCATGATAGGTCAAGAATCTCTGAGATCCAACGGCTCTGGAGGATCTTGGGCGCTGCGGCCTTCTCAGAGCCTTCCAGAACGCTCTGAGAGCGTTCCAGAACGCTGTGGACTGGTTTTATCCTCATCCTAGCCCCGCTCGACACCCGCCCGCAGCCCAACCTGCGACGGCAGAGGAATTTGCTAAGAGGTCTACGCGAGAGCGACTCGGGTCTGTGGTGATCGGACCCTATGCCCCTCCCAAGATGTCCGTTGCCAGGGGATCTCGTCTCTGACCCTTTACACACAGAGTGCTGGAGCAAAGTGGCTAGCTGCAAGCCTGAGCTGTGAGGACAAGGGTGTGCAGACGGCTTTGAGAGAGAGACGGGACGGAGGGGAGGGGCAGGACCAACCGTAGATGTGAAGTAAGATGCCGAAGGGGACAGGACAGGTTGAATGGGATGCGCGATGGACGGGGTCGGAATGAAATATGACAAGGGAAGTGGTGTTCAACCGGTGAGCTCGAGAGGGGCTCCAGAGAAGAAGCCGGCCGGTGGCTGGTAGCAACGGGCGCTGCACCCCCACAACGATCCTCGGAGCCTATCCCGTGAGCGATGCCCGGTGCGGGTGCCCGAAGCATGCGGCAGCTGCCTACGACAAACGGCCTTCCACGCGCGCAGCATCTTCGCATGGCTTCGGCTTGCAGCGCTCGTTCGGACACGCCTTTGTCGCGCTGCCAGTATGCTTGCGAGGCGTTTCACCAGCGCTTGGCCGGCGCACGGCCAACGCTGCCCAGGCGCTCTTCCGGCATGCCGTTCAGAGCCGGACCCCGTAGGGCTCTCTGGCACTCCGTACCAGGAGCTCGAGAGGGATACAGTGTACAGTGTAGAGGCCCAGAGCTAGATCGATACTTCGCAGAGTTCGCTGGCACTTCTCGCCAAGAGCAAGAGAGGAGGTCGGGCACTGCACGCAGGTATTCCAAGACAGAGCGAGCAGAAGCTTTGTGATAACTGTGAGTCTGTCTTATGAAGTCTGTGGAACATTCACCCACTCGTCGGGGGAATTAGCATTTTCACTACATGCAACCAGTCCGTCTTTGTCTTCCAGTGTATGTGTTGTCTCCCTCGCTGCCATTGCAAGGGCGAATACATGGTCAATCCGAATGTGTTGACCCATGCCCATTGAAGTTTGCATTCTATCTCACTCGTTCCTCGAATCGTGAGGCTCGTCATGCTTGAGAGACGCTTCATAGCTCGAAAATGCCCTTGGTGGTAACCAAATTGACGAGTTACTGTTCGCGTCCACTCCGGGCGCAGAATTGGCCGAGAAGCCAAAATCGGCGACTAGGGCGGTCACCAGTGGCAACGGAGTCGGCGGTCCAGCACAGGCATCCACATCCCTACGCGGGCGCCTCTGCGATACCCGGATTCGGGGATGGGCGAGGGGCGGGGCTTGGACGGGATAGAAGGAGAGGCGATCGACGGAATGGGAGGAGGGAAGAGGAGAGATGAGCGGGGTAGGAAAAAAAAGGGAGGGGGGAGGGGGTCGGGCGCTAGAGAGCAGAGTGAGAGAAGTGATAAGGGGAAGATAGAAGGGGAGAGGACGGGAAAAGGAAGAGGAGCTGAAACTCCAGGTGCCTGTAATGTTGCCCAGGATCCAGTGACCCTGCCCGTACTGCTTGAAGGGTTCTGGGTCGAACGGCGGCTTCTGATGGACCGTGATCTTCGGGATCGTCCCTGGTTTGTAGTCCACATGAGAGACCCACACTGACATCTCCTGGGAAGGAAGATTGACAAGGGATGAGAATCGGATGAGGGCCAGTTGAGCAACCGCGGCTCTCCCGCCCAGCCAAACTTTGAGTAGGGGATCGGCTGCGGAATTTATGTGCCCCAAGATTGACCATCTACAAACAATCTACGCATTCGTACGGATTCGACGAGAAAATCATTTTTGGGGGTAAACCAATTCTGTACTCGATCCCCCGCCCCGAAGCTCCATTTCAAATCTTTCCCCGGACCCCTCCCGCGGGCCATCCCCAGCCCGACGAGGATCCCGACATGGCGACGACGAGCCCCCGGGAGGCTCAACGCAGAGCGACAGACGCAAGTATGCGGCCGCCGCCGTCTCCACGGACCCTTCTCCAGCAAAAAGGACAGACCGCCGACCCCCCTTTGCCGGGGGTGACAAGGCGTGTGAAACATTTGGCCGTCCCCCTCCCCCCCTCACCTTCCCCAGAATCCAAAATCGAGTGCGGGGGGGGGAAGGGTCGGGCATTATCTAATTTTTGTTGGGGCCCAGACAACGAAGGGAGGTGCGCAAGGTGCCTGCATGAATTCACATGCAGTCGGACCTCGCAACACGAACGGCATCACAGACCCGCCCCAGGCGTCCCATCTGCGCCACCGTTGCGAAGCGCGTCGAGATGCCACCCTGGGACACGGCCACCGGTACCACCCCCACTTGGCCGCCAGCCTCAATTAACGGAGGCCCCGTTGCCCAAGGACGTAAGTTACCACGCCCCCCACGTCGGGGGACCCAGGCAGCCCTAAACGCACCCCTGGGGCCTCGAGGCCCCGGGGTGCGCTGGCCTGTAACTCCATGCTCCGCCGACGCCAAGATCTCAAGATGCTGCCCGAAAAGGGCCAAGGAGAGCTCCAGCAAGCTGGCCAGGCGACGAAGGAGGACCTCCAAATGCCCCCCAAGACGGCAAGACCCAAACCCGAAAGTGGCCCCAAAACGGGGGACCCGCAAAGGTCCTGGGATCCCGCCCCCAGAATATGGCCCCCGAGACCTCCATCTGGCTCCAAAAAGACCCCCGAAAGCGCCCCATAAAAGGTGTTCCAGACCCCCCGGTGGCCTCGACAAAATTCCAAGACGCCGCCACCTGGGCCGCCAGCGGGCCCCGAAAATGCCGCCACAAACTTCCGGATATTTCAACCTAAACAAAAAAAACAAGTGAGACCCCCAAGCGCCCGAGAATCCCCAACGGCACCCCCCCAGCTGCACGAAGGCGAACCCACATGAAGCCCAGGCAACATTACAAACCGCCCCGCCGTCCTCGACATAATCCTTCTCTTCCTCCTTCCTCTCGCAATTGTCTTTACATATATCATAATTGTCCCACGGAATTGTAGCAATCATCCGTGACGCAATTTGGGAACATATCGTTTCACGTACGGCACGCAGCATATTTCAATGCCCCCTCCCGGGAGACGCAAAATAAGTGGGACTCATGCGCGGAATCACGATTACGCGGCGCCCACCCACCCCACGCACCTGGAGATTTTGAAAGCATCCCGCTCTCGCGACGGCGCCCAAGAAACAGCCAGCAGACGCCTGGAAAGCTCGGGCGGGGCTTGGAGACGCTCGCCAAGACGCCCGCAAGGCATCATCTCGTCTGCGGGTGCGCAGCATGGCGTGCCTCTTGAGCCAGGCAGCGACGACGATGGGAAGAAGTAGCAACGACTATCCGAATGAACGCTGGCTCGCGGATGCTGAATCTGCAAGATCGCGAGTTCGCCGACGGCGCGTTCGCTTGAGCAGATGCCGAAGGTTCGCGCGACACGCGCAGGCGAGTCCGCCTCAATGGAGGCGCCCCACAGGGGCCCGAGCAGATGGGGTCGGAGGCTCGAGTCGCACATCGGCGATGAAACCCCGACCCGTCGCCGACGCACCAGCGACGTCGGCGATGAGAAATACGGGCTCCACATCGACCCGCATCGCCGATGAATAGGCGATGCGGCGCGCGCGATCATCCGACAACGGACGCCCTGGACCGACTCCGAAGGCCCAGGCTCATGAAACAACAACACTACCTGACAGTCCGTTCAAAGTAGCGAACCTGTTACATAACGCCCATACGCCGAAATCAACATTCATGTATGTTGTGCGTGCATGTGTAATATACCTGCCTATGCCCATACGAGTGTTGTCCGAGCCGTCAGATGTTCACAACTGAAAAACACGGCGGAGGATCACCCCCTGACTCGGCCGACGGCGCTGCCAGAAGCTGCGCCACCGTTCGCTTGAGGCACGAATTGGTTTGTCCTCGGGCCCCTTGCCAACATTCGTGGAGCCCCAGTCCCTAAACCTGAGCCCGAGATTCACAGATCCCCGCGGGGGCCCGCGCCCTGTCGCGCAACGCATTATTGCCCAAAACAGCCACCAAAGCGGGCCAAGAGGACCAGAAATAGGGCCTCACAGAAACCCCGAGTCTCAGCGCGATCGGTCCAAGACGGCCAAGATGGCCCCAAGACGGCCGAAACACCTTTCGATGCGCCCCATGGAACAGAGCAGGACACAGGGCCGACTATCGCCCCACAGGGGGCGGCGGCCCAAGGAGGGCACAGCGGGGGCGCCTCAGCGCCTTACTGCGCGAAATTAACAACTGCGGCGTCGCATCAACGTTTCCGCTCCCCCTCTGGGCGACAAGCGCAGCCAGCCACGCCCCGTTGAAATTTTGGTTTTGCCACAGAACGCACATCCGAATACTTTCGCCGCAATCGGATTCGGGCCGATTTGCGGCGCCCCTTGATCATCATCACGAGTTCTGAATTTTGCTGAGCGGTGCCCCACATTATTTGTTGCCCGTTGGATGGAATGCCCGCGGCCCCGCAGATGCGCCCCTGCGTGAAAAGGAGAAACAACAAATCAACAACAAGACGTGGATGAAGATGACGCGGGTGGCGATTATCCGTGACATCCTCTCTGCGTTCTTCTCATTTTCTCATCGAGTCTGCGCGACAGTGCCCATGTGTCAGAACCGCGCAGCGTCGTTGCGTGACTGTGCTGTCGAAGCGCCTGAACCTTGAGTTTAGAGAGGCTGCCGGTCTGTCAAATCTGCCCGGTGCTGAATGACGCATTCCCAAGCACGACAAATCTGATGATCGATCTCGGCGTTGTGGGGTCGATCGAAACTCGCCAGCCGGCCGAGGCACTTGACGCTGCCACTGCAGGGGGCAATCTTGACACTCATAACATCGAGGATCGCGTTCGCCTGCTTCGGTCTGCCAGCGCCCTCGGCGTTGCTCAAAGTCTTGGCCTTGAAATGGTTGAGCTCGAGGCCAATTTTGCGGCTGCGCCTGTAGCACCCCTCAGCTCAGCTGCGAGTTGCCGCAGAGTAATTGCGACAAGGAACATGTCGCTTGCGAAGTGCATGTTGGCGAGCCGCGTAAGGCCCGCGCAACCCACCTTCAAGCCCGGCCTTTAGCCGGCCACTTCTTGTCGACTGCGCCCACAACTCTCAAAGGCAGAAAACAAAACGTAATAATGCTGAGGTCATCTCCTTGCTCCGTGCAACGATGGATCTCGTTAGACTGCGATCCGTTGGCATTATGGCAGCCTGCCCTGCGTGGAGCTCTCTGGAGGAGCATCGCTTTTCCCGAACGAACGCCCTGTCATGCAGCAGCTTGCGACTGAAAAGTGTGGTCGGGGGGGAAAAAACGAACGCCTTCGTCAAGTCTAGAGCTTCGATCCAAAAATAACGCCGCCATCGGGCGCAACTTTCTTGAAGAAACGACGAAACAAACGTATGATGAACAATGCTGGAACCTTTGCTAAATCTGGCCGGGCCCAGATTTTGGTGCTCGCCCAAAAGCGCGCAGCCTGTCGTGCAAAATCTTGGAAAACAGCTTGCGCAGCAGAAAGGATGAATGTGATTGGCTGGATACTGTTGGCGTCTGAAACGCTCCCAGACTGGAGCAACACTGTCACAAATGAATGCTTGCAAGACTCGGGCAAACAAACCGTCGGCGAAATGTTATCAGACAGATGAAGAAGGTTAGTCTCTACCGTGTCGCCGCCTTTTTCCAGCCTCTCTGCGCGCGCCCCGTCTTGATTACAACGCTTCCCATTCGAAGTGTCTAGCTGTACTCGCACCCACTGTCGCTGCAAATATTACAACGTTGCCGGGAATCAGGGTAGGTTCAACGTTCAACTGCGCCACTCTCGGCGGCGTGTGCAGCGCAGCATAGAAATCAGGAGGCAACGTTCTGGCGATATGTCATGGTCGCGCCAGCGCTGCCTTTCATGTGCGAGGTGACCTGTCTCTTTTGGGTCGTCTCGATGTTGTGGGTACTCATCATGCCTACGAAATCCGCAGCGACTTCATGGCTGCGAGCAGAAACCATCTGTCTTCCCAGAAGCCAAACTTCCTCACGAACCTGCTTGCTCAAATCTGCCCCCCGTGGTCCGCCGCGGTTGCTGCGCCGTCGCAATCGCGCAAGCAGACGCTGCAACTCTACGTCGCCATGAGACTGGAGCCCTGCATCTCTGCCGGCGCGCGCGCGAAGCCGATGCAGCCAAGACTTCTGCGATGCGTTTGCAGTTCGCATCTGGATTTGTTGAAGCGCCGCGCTGCCAGCGACGTAGACCTCATCGGCGAAACGTTTGGGATCCACGCTCCTCCATGCAGTCCGCCCATTGCGGCCTGGCTTCGTTTCCTCCTTTGATGTGGGCTTTCTGGCAAAACGCATTGTGCTAGCGACGGGTCTGCGGCCGGCCTCAGGAGCATCCCCGCGAGGGCCACGACAGACCAAAGACATTTAGTGTCCTGAGGGTATTCACGCGTGGGGGTTCTCCTCCTTTCGAGCTTCCGACGCTCCGCGACGTCCCGATAGGCCTCCGACGCCGCCCCAGGGCAGCCCGAGAAGCTGCCAAGAAGAGCCAAAGACGGCCCCGAGACGGCCCCAGAAGGCGCCGGAGACAACCCAAGAGGCGCCCAACACCGCCCAATCTAGCCCCAAGATGGCCCACAGATGGGGAAACCGAACCAGAAA